TTCAAGAAATCTCTGCTTTCAGCCCCTAAAAGGCTCCAAAGAATGTTATTACAGCTCCAGAGGTATAGTTTGAATACAGTGTACAAGCCTGGAAAAGAACTGTTCATTGCCGATACACTCAGTTGAGCATTTCTTCCCAATAAGCCATGTACAAAAGAGCTGAACTCAGAGGTGTTAGCAGTCAAGCAGGAAGAGTATGTAATCAAATCCATTGAAAAAATCAGCATGGTAGAGTTCCTGCCAATCACGAGTGAATGCCTTAATAATCTCAAAAGAAAAACTGAACTTGACGAGGTTCTTCAGCAGTTGGAACATATTATCAAGAATTGTATTGTATTGTAATCTTTATTTAGACACGATCAATTCATCAGCCTATAAAAATACATATCACATACGCTAAGATATTTAAAATTAAAACTACATACTATAACACTAAAGCTGTTTTCCGTGAATGCCGTGCGTTAGACTTAAAAAATGTCATTGATCTTACGTTTAAATAACCCCAGAGACTCTGTGTTCCTTATATCGCGTGGTAAACTGTTCCATAATGTGGCGCCATTGTAGCTAAAGCTTTTTCTGTAATAATTAGTGCGCGGTAGTGGAACATTAAGCTTATTTTCAGAGTCCCTGAGGTCATAAGCAGAGTCACGCCACGTAAACTTTGAATATAGATACCTTGGAGCTAGCCCGTGCAGACATCTAAACATCATGGTGGCTTTATGGATTTCCTGCTGGCGTGCAAGATTTTTCCACCCTAAAAACTCGAGTAGCTCAGTTGCATCAGCATCATAGTTAGAGAATGTCAACACACGGGCTGCTCTATTCTGCAATTTCTGCAGTTTGTCTCGTAGCGTTTTCCCACAGCTACCCCAAACAATGTCACAGTAATCAAAGTGAGGTTTTACTAAAGCTTGGTAGATGAGATGTAAGGTTGATGCTGGGATCAGGTGCCTAATTCGCTTTAGGGCCCCGATACCAGAGGCGATCTTTTTCGTTAGTTTTTCGATGTGACTATGCCAATCGAGTTTATCGTCTATTATTACACCAAGCGATTTTGTAGCTGAAACCTGGCTCACTTGAGTATTGTTCATTCTAATTGTTGGTGAAGCTGTGAGAGTATTCAGTCTCTGCCTCGACCCTATTAGCATGAATTCGGTTTTAGTCATGTTCAACGTGAGTTTGTTCGCTTGTAGCCAGTTGAAGACGTTTTCTAGGTCTTCATTTAGACAAAACTGAACGTTCTCAAGATTGCTTCCCGCATATGTGAGGTGCGTGTCATCGGCATACATTCTCGGTTTACAATTTGATAAGCAATTTGGAAGATCGTTGATATATAATAAGAACAATAATGGACCGAGGATGGTCCCTTGTGG